ACACACACACACACACAAAACGGGAGAACAACGGAGCTGATCTGTTTGGTATTTTGAGCAAAGCACTTCATCGACATGTTTTTTATATCTGTATCTGAGACCTGTAATATATGCCCTAATATAATAGGAGACCTTTAATATAGGCTACTCCCTCATCATGTGGTCCACCTGTGTGTCTCTGCCTAGGTGTGCATGCAGTACCTGAAGGACACCAACATGCTGTTTGTGGGGGGGCTGATGGTGGCCGTGGCCGTGGAGCACTGGAACCTCCACAAGCGCATCGCTCTGAAGGTCCTGCTGCTGGTGGGGGTCCGGCCCGCTCTGTGAGTCACACTGAACTGTTTATTTTCTGTTTTATTTTGAATAGTCAGTCTGTCAGTTTCCGGTTTTACTTTGGAAGATGTTCACCCCCTGTCTCATGTCTGCATTTGCTTCCTGTCTCTGTGTTCTCCCTCCTGTCTGATTGTCTTATCGGCCCAATTCCAAACCTCCCCCTACACACTACCCCTCCGCTTGTGCGTTCTCGCGGAGGGTCCGCCTCATTAAGTGCTGTTCCAAACCAGAGTGTTGAGGGGGAGTGGGTAGGGTGTGGTTTGGAATTGGGCCTATCTCTGTGTTTTCTCTCCTGTCTGATTGTATTCACCTGTTGCCCCCCCCCCCTGTGTTTCACCTCCCCTCTCCAGCTGTGTCTTGTGATTACCCCTGCCCTGTGTATTTAGTCTTGTGTTCCTTGTCCCCCTTTATGTTTACACATTTCCAAGGAACCGTTGGAAACCATGTCTTTCGCCGTTGTTGTTGTTGTTCTTGTTGTTGTTGTCTAACAAACTGTCTACAGACGGTAAACCATAGGGGTAGATTTGCACAACTGATAGCTAGGACCATTGTAAAAAACAACAACAGTGCTTTGTTAGTTACTTGTTGCTCTTATGAAATGATCCGGACCCGGTTGCTCCGTCTGTATCCGGTTGCTTCCGCCCGAACTGTTTCACATTCTGACGCTCAGATTTCCCATCAGGCATGATAGTTTTTTTCCCTCAACAGTTTGAATTGAATGCTAACGTAAGCATGTCAACCATTGGTCATACTGGTTAAACAATGGCCCTTAAGAGTTTCAAACCCTTCTGGTTCTCTGGTCTTTTTGTTGAAGCTTCGTCACATTTTGAACGCGTCCTTCCTTCCTCTGGCAGGTTGATGCTGGGCTTCATGGGAGTGACCGCCTTCCTCTCCATGTGGATCAGCAACACGGCCACCACCGCCATGATGGTGCCCATCGTGCAGGCCGTCCTGCAGCAGCTGCACGGGGACCTGGAGCCTGAGCCGTCCAGCGAGGCCCGGAGGAAGAGGAGCGTCGAGCAGAACCAGGACCACCAGGAGAGACCCAGCCACACCCTGCAAACTGCTGCCAGCAACAGCCTGGAGAGCGGTACGACTGATGACCTGCTGGACCCAAATACGGCAGACAATCAATCAATCCACAACTTTATTAATCCTGCAAGGGCCAGTTGGTTATGAGCAGCTTCTGCCATGTGCACAGGCAGGAAGGTGTAGGGAGGAAGCTCACAGGAACACCCCTGGATGTGGATCATTCACATTTACACGATAAGTAGTTCACAGCGTCACAATAAACAAATAAGTGAATAAATAATCAAGTTAAAAAACCTGGTTATTTATTTATCTATTTATTGTGATGCTGTGAAGTGTTTTAGAGAAACCAGCCCGATTAGATCGATCCGTAGAGCCAGACTCATGCAGTGCCAATGCAAAGAAGAGTCTCTGATGAAGGGAGGGATCCCGGAGACTAACGATTACAGACCTGCGATCATTCAGCCAAACGAAACCTCAATACTGCGTTTACATTTCAAAGAAAATGCTAAATGTGTTTGTGATGAAAGTCTCCATGAGTTCAGGGTGCTCTGATAGGTCAAACTAAAACAGGACTTGGACCCAGGTTTCTGTCGATCGTGTTCAGATTCAAATTACTTTTACTTTTGTAAATGTATAGCAATGTTTTCAATTCAAGACATTTCACTTAAATACCAGAACATTAACTTTAAGGAAGCACCAGAGGTAAGTCAGAAGTCCCGGCGTCTTTAGGAGGTTCATCTTGTGGGAAGCGTGGATATTAACCCTTCTCCACTTGGTGCTAGCTCTGTGCTGGTTTGGTTCCCAGTTGGTTCAACTTAGGGAAAGATATTTATCAAACTGTAACTGGAGTGTTATTGTCTATTTGCTTCAGAAACGTATTTATTTTTAATTCCACTGATTCTGATGTTCCTAACCTTTATATCATTGAGTGATGACCAATCATGGTCCCTGGTAGACCCCCACACATATAGCAACATAGATATGCTATCACACCCCTGGTTGTGAAATACCAATTATTTGCTATATATATATATGCCATTAATAACTGTACTGTAATACCTGTTACAAGATGTGTATTTGTAAATTGTATAATTTTTTAAAACATGTTTATCTTTAATATTTTGTACGCATGCTTCTTAGTTAATATTAGGGATGCCAGTGATTATCCGATTATTCGAATATTCGTTTCAGTCTCCATAATCGAATATTATTTTAAAAAATCGATTTTATTTATATAATTTTTTATTATTATTCATGTATTTTTTTTTTTTTCTGGCTTAGTTTCAACCAAAATATAGAATAATGCTAATAATATAAATAGTATTAATAATTGTAAATGGCGATTGGTCACACCACCAGTTTGTTTTACTGTAAACTTGGAGGAAGCCTGCGTGCAGAGCAGACTGCTGCTGCAGCGCGCTACACACCGACCCCCCCCCAACCCCCCCCCTCCCTCACACGTGCGACTAAAGACGAACAAAGCGGCAGGTAAAAAGAGTTCCTCCTCGTGGAACTACTTCGAACTTACAAGTCCAAAGGAAGTTAAATGAAACAAAGAACGGAATTCCTTTTGTCTGAGTTTTTT